GGCGATTTTATTTACAGTCCAGGACTCGACACCATAAAGTAATACCGAGAACTTGTAGCAGCGAAGTAGGCGGATCCTCAATGCCAATTTTAGGTCTCTGATAATTATCGTAATTCTGATAATACTAAAAAGAGTTATACAAATATCAATATCTTTACAGTGCTAGGAGGCAGTAACAGAGATACATAGTATTGAGAGGGACAAAACTAGTATACGGTTTAACACAAAACGCAGGGTTTACAAGCGCATCTATCAATCACGCAGCACGCACTTTTCGGGATTGATAACATACCCCTTCTTTACTTTCAGAGAGGGAAAATCGCACTGTCCTAGTCCTAAGTCTTATAACGCGGGGTGAAGAGAGATTATGAGGGAGAGAGTCTCAAACACATTAACACGAGAGCTGACGACGTGAGCGCACAAGTTGATAAAATACCTATATTACCAGTACAATATTACAAATAGGTTATTTTTACAACAACTACCATCTGAATACTATAGGATATTTAAATCCTATATAAGAGACAGATATTTCCAGATAAAATACGGTACGACAGTAACAGCATTGAGACCTAAAAACTCTGGCATCCCATAAGCTAGTATGCTTGGTCCACTCTTATATCTGTTATACACGGCCGACCTACGCACTTCTGATCAGTGTACCTCCTTGGCAGCATTTGCTAATGACACCGTCATCCTCTCGTCGTTCATAAATTTGATCAAAGCTTCCAAAAGAGTGCAACAGCATTCAGATGTGGTTAAGAATATTTATTAGGTATAATAAATGTATAACTTTATATTTGATGTATGATCTCAATTTTAATCTTGTAACGATAAGACTACCATAGAGAATTGAAGTACTTTTGTAAAAATAATACCTCAATCAACCATGGGAGCTTATCGTCTATGCCTTGCATAGCTCAGTATATCAAGGGTGAGTTCATCTTGTCTTAAAATAGGGATTGAACCTGAGTTCTCAGTTGATAGCAAATAAGACAAATTTTAACCAAATATATTTATTTCAAAAAATAAAAAAAAAACAATAATTAACCCTGCTAAAGCTTAACAATTGACGTGATACTTATTGCTTCGTTCGATGGATTACTTGTGTGTTCTCGCTGCTAGGTCCTCCAATGGAATGTTGTAGTATCTGGAGAACTGCAGTCACACGGGTTGTATTTTCTATTTAAAAAGTCCGTTGAAGGTAATACTTTTGGTACTAATAAAGTTGTAAATATGCCAATAAAGTTGCTAATATGTCCAATAAAATTCCCAATAAAACTAAAACATGAAAAACAGCATACATTATAAACACATCAAGAAGAAAAGTATAACTTCCTTGTCATCTTACAAAGTTACAATAAAAGAAATAGCGTATGGCAAGAATAAAATAAAATATGATTGTTACTATGATTGTTGGTTAAATTCTGTTAAAGAGTCCTAATGCATATATGAAAAAACAATGTGCTTTCGAAAGAAAGTAAGGTTACAAATATCGGAAATGCGGTCAGAATTATAGAATAAATATCACAATGAAAGTACTTACCCCAAGAGAATTTGTAGACCATAAAATGAGTCTAATTATAATTTTTGCCTTCTTTTATAAAGTTCAAAAGCAGGCAAAAAATTATATTCCCACTACATTAGAACATTTAACTTAAAGAAAGTAGTGAGACTGCTTGAAGTTAGCACAGATGTCATAGGATGTTGCTATTTCATAAAACTAGCTTGTCTCTCAACACAAAACAGAAAGAGAGAGGGCAAATATTATAAAAATAGAGGAAGAAATGAAAAACAGAGGAAGAAAGAGAGGGAGAAAAAGAGGGCGCCAAATACTTTTTTAATAAAAAATAGTAAAAATTAAACTGAAGGTAAACAAATTAGTAAATTAATAAGGAAATTAAAATGAAATAATTATTTCAATATAAATTAATAGAGATGTAAAAATATCTTATTATTTTAATTATATTTTGCAATTAAATTTTAATGTTATGTTTAACCCACTTTGTCTGGGCTATTATCATCATCCAGCCTCTATTTATCACGTCCACTGCTGGACATAGGCCTCCCTTAAACTCCTCCATTCCTCACGATTTTGTGCTCTTTGTTGCCAATTTTTAGTGATACGCCTGATGTCGTCGGCCCAACGTGTAGGTGGTCTTCCTCTACTGCATTTGTCTGCTCTTGGCCTCCAATTTGTAATTTTGCTCGTCCATCGTGAATCGTGCATTCTCGCCACATGGCCTGCCCAGTTCCATTTTAGTTCCGCTATGCGTTCCACAACATCAGTAATACTCGTCCTTCTTCGCAGATCTTCGTTTCTTATTCGGTCCCTCAACGTTACTCCCAGCATAGACCGTTCCATTCGTCTCTGTGCCACTCTCAGTTTCGAAGTAGTGGTCTTAATTAAAGTCATAGTTTCCGCCCCATAGGTCATGACCGGTAATACGCATTGGTCAAACACTTTTCTTTTGAGGCTGATTGGTATGTTGGCCCTAAGTGTGTGTCGCAGTTTTCCAAAGGCTGCCCATGTTAAAGTAATTCGTCTTTGGATCTCACATGTTTGGTTATCCCTGCTGATTCTTATTTCATGACCCAAATACGTATATTTCTCCACCAGTTCTACCACTTTGTCTTGAATAGTCAAATGGTTATTGGGGAACAAATTTGTTCTAAACTTAGTTTTGGTCAAGTTCATTCTCAGGCCCACCTTTGAACATGCAAAATTTAATTCGTTTAACATATCTGTAGCTTCTCCTAAATTATCTGTGATAAGGACAATGTCATCTGCGAAACGGAGATGGTTAAGCTTTTCGCCGTCTATCGTTACTCCTCTGTGGTCCCAATTGATCATCTTAAAGGCACATTCTAATGCCGTTATGAATAATTTCGGCGACAATGTATCTCCTTGCCTTATTCCACGATTTATTTTTATTGGTCGGGTTTTATTGTCTATTTTAACAGTCATAGTGGCATTTTTGTAAATATTATAAATAAGCTCACTATACCTATGGTCAATCCTGCTGTCATTCATTGCTTCTATAAGGCTGTCTAATTCGATCGTGTCGAACGCTTTATGAAAATCTATGAAAGTGAGAACAAGAGGTTTGTTATATTCTATAGATTTTTCAATGAGTGTCTTTACTGTGTGGAGGTAATCATTGGTATCGTAATTTGAGCAGAATCCTGCCTGCTCTTTCGGTTGGTAGAAATCTAATTTTTTCTCCAATCTTGATGTCACTACCCTAGTGAAGAGCTTGTATATGTGATTCAACAAGCGAATGGGTTTATAATTTTCTAGGTCCGTTCTATCTCCTTTTTTATGCAAAAGGATGGTTGTAGCATTGCTCCACTCTTTGGGCACCTCTCTTTGCTGCAAACATAGATTGAATAGTTTACTTAATTTATTTAATAGCATATCTCCTCCATTTAAGATAGCTTCTATTACGATTACATCCTCTCCTGGGGCTTTGTTATTTTTCATTTTTCTTAATGCTTGTCGAATCTCATCTAGCTTTATCTCTGGCATTAGTTCGGAACCTTGATTCTTGATCTTCTTTGAAATGGCTGTTTGTATTCCTATTTTATCTTCTCGTCTACTTCTATATAAGTCCTCGTAAAACTCTTCGACGACCTGTATTAACTCGTCTCTACGTGTTGCTACCTGGGCTATTATAAGGAACCATAAATGTGTCGGACTTTTTCAGTTTTTACTGTAACCTTCCAGTTGCCAGTAAGGTCTTGCAAATATTAATAACGACATAACTCTTAAAAAATCCATTACCTCTACGTACGTGTTTCTTACAAATTATCCACAAGGCATGTCACTAATTTACATTCAAATAAAGAAATAAATATTGGATTCATTTTCTTAATGAATGCCCTTCTGTAACATCAATAACTTGTTGAGTTTTTTTTACTTGCGCCTGTATTTAAATAGTTTACATATACCTTATATTTATCTAAAGCTTTTTGGATAATTTACTCTTTTTATGTATATTACATGTCGTATATAAAAGCTAGTAAACCTATTTTCCCTCACCTTGAGGATATTTCTCTTTGTGTTTGGTGTTTAGTTTACAAACCATAATTTATAGTCTGACAGAGCATAAATTAGGTCCCTAACAGGGTTTACCTAACGTAGATGGTGTCATTTCAAGCGTTAAGACATTATTAAGTGGAGGTTAGGAGATATAAGAAAATATAAAACGAACATTAATCTTTATGTTCAAATTTATGAAGTATCATAACCTTGGGTAAAAAGTAACTTATTTTTTATTTTTTTTTACATTCATTGTGCCGTGTGGATCATTTTAAAACTTATTAAATATTTCGTGGAAGTATAACTTCTATATGTTAATTATTTATTTTATTTCATCCGTTAATTACTTATTTTTGGAGTTTCAAATAGGTCAGTTTGCGCTGACCTTTTTTTTTTAATGCAAGCTTTAAAATCTTAAAAAATATAACGTCTTTATTATTTTACTAGCTGACCCGACACTTCGACAGACTTCGTTCTGTCAAATAGATTTGGAATGTGGCAGTTTATTTCTTTAATTCTCCTTAACAGAACCGTGACGATAATGATAGGCCGCTGTGTGAGGGTCAGCTCAGCTGAACTAAGTATCTTCGCTTTCGGACTTTTGTACCCACTAAAAAGCACCACTAGGATGTGTGCCAGAGGGCTTCAAACTAAGAGGGGAACTTAAGATTCAAACCTGATTGAAAAATAATCTAAAGAGGTAGTGGAAACCTAAAGGTGACAAATATTTATAAAGTGGGTGCTTCAATGGCAAAACATAGAAATAATTAATTATTTATTATTATTAATAATAATAACATAAGGTTAATAACCAATGCAATAAATAATAATAAAATAAAACGATATAAGTACTTTCAGTAATCGCTTTATTGTAAATTAAGTGAATCAGAATTATTAACAAAAACTGTTTTATTTTTATTGTAGAGCTTTATGATATTAATGTTTTTTGTTTGATTACCTGGTGAATATACAAACAAATCTGATGGTTTTCCAACACGAGAACAGACAACATACAATTGACCATGTAAGAAACATGGGTTTTCTAGATTAATACCACAAACAAATGATTGTCCCTGGAACATTTTTATCATCATACCAAAAGCAAGCTGCACTGGAAACTGTAGTTGTTTAAATTCAAATTGTACATCCGTCGTAATCATTGGAATGCGTGGTATCAAAACGTCTTCTCCTTTATACTTTCCTTTCAGTATAGTTGCTTCTATCATGTTGTTCAATAATTTTTTCATCGCTAACCGTGTGCCGTTGCAAAGATTCGGTTGGTTGATATTTCTTAACATTATAACCACCAATCTAACCTTTAATTGAAGATTGTGAGTTAGCAATCCTGTTAAATGTAGCGAATTTAAAAATTCAGGCGGATAATTGACGACATCGTCTTAGTTAGTAGCCCAATCAACTGATCTGTATCTTATCAATTCGCCTGTAATTTGTTCTTGAATTTTGAAATTTAATTCATTTACATCTATGCTTTTTGCAACCAATACAGTCCGTTCTCTCAAACAGTCATGGTTTCTGTAATTTTAAGCAACATCTGGAAACATCTTTTGAATAAGTTCATCTTTTGATCGAGTTAACTGACAAAAACTATGAGGAAAGTTAATGCAACCGGTCAAGGTGTCTATTGGAAATTTGCCATTACCAATGTCAATGAGTTGTTTAGAGAATATGTCTCCAGATTAGTCATTTTGCAACTCGACATGCATATTCTTGCTTAAGTGTAATACCTTGACATGTTTTGACAAATTGGAGGACTTGAAACACGCATTGAGTTCATCAGTTGGCGTTGATCGTGGAACCATTGGCAATGTTTAACGAAAATCTCCTGCTAATAAAATGATTGCATTACCAGATGGGTTATAATTGCTCTGTAGATCTTGTAAGGTTCTATCTAAAGCCACCAAAGATTTTTTATGTGCCATCGTGGATTCATCCCAAACAATCAATTCACATTGCTGCAAAACCTTTGCCATAGCAGACGTCTTCGAAGTATTGCAGGTTGGAGTTTCATTGCTTTGCATGTTTAATGGTAATTTTAGTACTGAATGGGCTATTCGACTACCTTCAAGAAAAGTTGCTGCAATTCCAGACGAAGCGAGTGCAAGTGCAATTTTATTTTGTGAGGAAATTTTTGCTAATATCAATGAAATTAAAAAAGTTTTTCCTGTACCACCAGGTGCATCTAAGAAGGAAAATCGTCCTGTTTTATCATTTGTTACTTTCATAAGTGTATCAAATACATACTTCTGTTGTTCATTCAATAGTGGAAGATTTGTTTGAATTAATTCTTTCAAAGTGTTGAGATCACACAGTATTTCTCGGTGCAACTCTTGGTTAAAAGCATCATCCATTGGACGATTCGAGAATGGATTAGACAAAAAGAATTATTAGCAAGTGATAAAGTTGCTTATCGTGTTGCCAAAACTAGTAATCCGCACATAATTGCTGAAAATCTGATTTTTCCAGCAGCTGTTGAAATTGTACATATAATGTGTGGGTAAAGAGAGGTTGCAAAATTAAATACAATACCTCTGTCAAATATTACTAGCCAAAGAAGAATTAGTGATATGGTAGAAGATATTGAAGCGCAAGTTGTGGAAAATCTTAATAAATGCACGTACTTATCTCTTCAAATGGACGAATCCACAGATATATCTAACTGTGCCCAATTCATTACGTTTGTAAGATATGATACAAATAATGGCATTCAAGAAGATATTTTATTTTGTTCCCCATTGGAGACCAATACCACTGGAAAATGTTTACTCGACACTTTTGTGAAAGGTACAAGTAAATATAATATTGACTGGGGTAAATGTATTGCTATATGCACAGATGGCGCTAAAGCTATGAGAGGACATAAATCTGGTCTTGTCATCAAATTACAAGAAATAATGCCTAATGCCAAATGAAGATATTGTTTATTACATCGAGAAGCTCTTGCATCCAAAGCATTACCTCCTGAAATTGACTGTTATGAAAACCATCATTAAAGTTGTAAATTCCATTAAAGGAATTTACAACCTTTGCCGACCCGTATGTTTAGAAAAATTTGCAAAGACGTGGGTGATTTATTTGAAAATCTTCTCTATAACACCAAAGTAAGGTGGCTTTCAAGGGGCAACGTCTTAAAAAGAGTATTTCACTTAAGAGCAGAGCTTTTAATGTATTTGAAAGATGAGAAGTCCCCATATGAAAATCAATTTTCCGATCCTATTTGGCTTCTGAAACTAGGTTTCCTTGCTGATATTTTCGAGCAATTAAATATTTTGAACAGTAATTTATAAGGTCGCGCCATTAATATAATTACAGCCTCAGAAAAAATTAAGGCGTTTCTAAAAAAAAAGATTTATGGTAGATCTCACTTGGCAAAAAACAACTCGATTCATTCTAGTGCCTTCAGGAAATTATGAAAAATATATCCAATTACAGTGCTACAAATTTTGAACAAGTTTTTGCTGACATGCATTTTACTTTGCTCAATTTAAAACAACAGCTCTTTGATTATTTCCCCGAAGAATTTCAAAAGAGTTACGAAAGTTGCAGATGGATACTAAATCCGTTTTTAGCCAATTTCTTTTAGCATGTTGAAATACCAATAAACATGAAAGAAAAACTTATTGAAATATCAAGTGATGGAATGTTGAAGCTCCAATTTTTTTCCCAGAACTCGAATCAATTTTCAAATCGGATCAATTTTAGACCGAAAAGATGCAGGAATATTCCCAGTTGGCGAGTAAGGCTGTAAAATATTTGGTTCCATTTGTAACATCATATTTGTGTGATTTAAGTTTCTCGTCTATGACTGTTATTTAAACAAGAGTTATAAACAAGTACATCTCGTACTTGAAAATGATTATAAGATATTAAGATTATAATTTTTGACTTTGTTTTACTCTTTTATTTTTGCGGACTTTTTGTTTGACTAATTGTTCTCACTGTATAAATAATATAATTCACAGTTTTTGATTATCTGGGCATAGCGCGACAGTAGCTGTAAATGTATCATTTCGTACACTTCTAAATTTTTTCTAGTTATTTTATCTACGGGAAATTCAATACATGAATATCCAATTTCCTTAGCAGACAAGCTATTTGGACAATTATGTATAAGTGGGCAAATCTTGAAATATCAACTCTCCGACATATGTGGTAACTCCGAGACTCAAATATGTTTGCTTAATTCCACTTATATCTCATATTCAGATACATTTGTAGTTGAGTATATTACATATAGTAGACATGAACATAATGTGTATATCAGCAATTGTTAGAACAGATATATGTAATAATATAAATATCTCAGATGGTCTTGTAACCGGAAGAATTTATTTTAAAAATCGTAAAGTTATAAATGAAGATTACTAATTTATTATACTCTTTGACGCTATTAAAACAGTTGTAAAGATATAAAGCTACATATTATTAAATATACAATAATATATAGTACGATAGAACCGAAATAGAAGAAAACAATAATGGACATAACTCAATACTTACAAAACCATAACGAAAGCAAATGGGATAAATGCGAACATATTAAAAGCACAGCCATTAAGAAAGCTACTAGCTAAATTAATTGCCTGTATTAAAAAAAACGGTGCTTTTCAAAACGGTGTATCGGTGTATGTGCGTCTCTCTAGTACTGTTTACCCTAGAATTTTCTAGACCCAAAAGTTCTGTGGTCATATTAATCAAAGTGACCACACAATGAAGCGGTTGGTAATCCAAGAAAGGCCTCAGAGTCAATGCCTGTGCAGCAGATCTCTACAACGATGGACAGGCATCACAAAAAAGCTTCTCAACAAGCAGTATACTGAGGTAGTACATGTAACAGATGACCGCGATCAGTATAGAAGTATCATTGATCAGACTATCTAAGCTGATGAAGCTCAATTTTAAACCACAACACGTCTGTCAAGATGTTAGTGACTGTGATAATAATAACGTATTAAGCAAAATTCTAAAAAACAGGCTTCATAAGTGCAAAAATGTAATTTCGTAATCAATGTAATTAACTTTAACTTGAGAATATCCGTCATAAAAAATCTTCTTCTTCTTCTTCTTTTTAGTATGTAGGCTTTAAAGCCTGTTTCGTCTAATATTAGCCTCGTAAGTTGTTTAAATTGTCGCACCATCTTTTTCTTGGTCTACCAATACTTCTTTGTCCATTAAGTGACTTATCTTGTGCTATTCGTACTATTCTATACTATGCTATTCTTCTGATGTGTTCGTTCCATTCCTGTTTTTGTTTTGTCACCCATCCATTTATGTCTTCTATATTGCATGCTTTTATTTTTTCGCTTCTCTCCCTATCCAACAAACTTCTCCCTGATATTCGTCGGAGTATTTTCATCTCTGTTGTTTCTAGCAGTCGTTTCGTTTTAGATGTATCAGATCTTGTCTCCGCCGTATATGTTCATATAGGTCTAATTGCTGCTTTATAGATTCTTGTTTTTGTGTCTTGTCTTAGGTGTTTGTTCTTTCAGATTGTGTCATTAAGAGACACTTGTTTTAAGCTTTGTTAACGTACTTCTTCCTCAACATTTCCGTAACTAGTTATATCTATTCCCAGATATCCAAACCTTGCTTGCTTGCTATCATATGGTATTTCTTAGCTGTTGTATTGAAGATATGTGTTAATCTTTGAAGCTCGTCTTCTGTCTCGGCAATTAATACGGGGTCGTCAGAATAACATAACATATGGATTTCTTTGTTCCCCATTTTGTAGCCATGACCTTTACATACTGCTTGTATTATTTCGTCCATTATTATATTAAAGAGAAGTCTGTCTGACTCCACTTTGTACTGGTATACAGTGCGTTAGTTTTTTATTTATCTTTGCCTGTATTCGATTATCGAGGTATTTTCGATGGTTTCTATAATATTAATTGGTATGTTTCTTTTGTCTTTGTCAGGTCTATAAAACATATATCTGCTAGTTAATTGCACTCGTTGGCCTTTTCTGTGATTTGTATTAGTACAAATACGGTGTCTACGCAGGATTTTCCGGATCTGAATCCTTGTTTTTCATCTGATAAAGTTGTTCAGTAGATTTATACCTCTATAATTGTTGGGATCTTTTTTACCTCATTTCTTGGACATTGGTATTATTATGCTGTTTCTCCATGCATCTGGTATTTGCAGTGCAATATTAGTTTTTGTATAAATTATGTCATTCCAGGGTTATACTTATAGCATGTAATTCGCTTTTAAAAAAACAAACTCATGCCATGATGGCAGTAAAACTCTCCTGTTAGTGATTCCATAGTAAATTATAAGGGAAAAACCAGGAAAAAAACTTAATAATACTCTTCCGACATGGTAAGTATTTGGTCGTGCATTTAGTTTACTTTCAATAAACACCAAATATGTTTGTTATTTAAAAAAGATAAATGATGATTCCTCTATACATTACTGACTTACTTATATTGGTATTTACTTTTATTAACTTTCTCTTTTAATATGGGTAACCAGATTCTACTACATTCTACCGAGAAATTTGCGACACAATTGTTCGCATATTTTTACTTTTCATTTTTGTTATGCACATGACAACACTGTAATGGCAACCCCGCCAAAAGTTAAGGTGTGTGACAGTTGCTCTTAACGGGCTCTCAGTCAATTATTACTGCTACAACAAGTAAAAACAGCAATAAAGTTATAGAAAATCCATCGAGTACATTTCTTCTCAGATATTATAATCTGAAACAAGATTTACTAGCAAACACAAGATCAAATAACAATTGGTGTTATTTAGCATAATTAAAGCCGCTCCTTTGATTTTTCTCGTTTTACCATCCGATTCTTTTGGGACTATATTTGAATCATTCCATTGAATCCTATGTTTATTATCCTATGTGTGTTTACATATTTGAGATCTATCAAACTCTCTATTTTTAATATAAGATTAATGTTCACTTATTCTAACATTTAATGGCCTTAATGTTTCACCTACATAAATAAAACTGGTCACATACACAAGGTATTTTGTAAATACAATTCTTTGTCCTTTTTTTTCGTTGTTAGGTTTGGTTTTAGATAAAATAGATCTCAATGTGTTTGTTGTTTTAAATATTGTTGAAATGTTAAATTTATTTTCTATCCTTATAAGTTTTTCTGATAATCCTTTTAAGTATGGTATTACTATTTTCCTCGTATTATTCCTTGTGTATGCTATAGGATCTCGTTCTAAGTTGTTCTGTTCTATTTGGTTTATTGTTGAAAATTATTTATTTATAAACGATAAAGAATAATCTTTTATTTATAAAACCGATGTTAAAAAATGTTTTTCTTTCAAGAACGAATTTTCGTTAGAACAAGCAATTTTGGCTCTATAATATAAGGATTT